TGATTTTTTTTACGAAGTATGATTTGTGCGAACACATTATATTTCTGAAAAGCTATTTTTATCAAGTAGATGGTGAAAGCATTATTCGCTGAAAAGGGTAACTGGACTAGTTCTGTGACAATGATGAAAGATAAACGGTGGTCGGATTAATTAATGTTATAGTATATAGAATGCTAATGAAAACAAATCTATTTCCATCTTAGAAAAAGAATTAGATGAACTGTGAAATTGAAGAAAAAGGAGTTACTCTAGCAGTTTTTTAATCTTTTTTTTTTGCTGATAAATTTTTGCATCAAATTTTGAGGTTATTCGTTTTCAGGAAGACTTTCATTTCACACCATATTCAATCATTAGCTATGTTGTGCCAGGCGAAAAGAGCATAGCAATGGAGAATAACTTGGATTATCGAATTACTTTCTCCATTCCTTCAAAACTGATTTGCATCGGTGGAAAAGCGGTGACATTTTCTCGCAAAAGGCCATTGCTTATTGATGATGATGAATGACATCACTGTGTTTAAAGGCGTCTTATCCAGAATCTGTGCTGGCTATTTTATTTGAAATTTTTTTTTTTCATTTGTACAGAAATATGCCAAGTGTATCATAGGTGTCATTAATTTGCCCGTCGAGATAAACTTTCTTCATCTATTCTATTTGATATTGTTGTTGTGAATAAATGTATTTGTTACATCTCAGAATTATCATTTTTCTAAGGATAAATGAATCTGTATAATATCGTTGTGTGTTCTAAAATTCTTTGAAATCATTCGAAATAATAAAGTAGTTGAAATGATAAAGTCAGTCATTATGTTGTTTATTGGCTAGGCTGGGATTTTTGATTTGGGCTAGAGTTGGGGAAGGGAAGAAGATGCAATTTAAACAGGTTAAATCCACTCTCTTGATTGATTGACTAAATTAAAAATTAGGCAACTGTGTTGTAAGCAAGGAAAATTAGTTTGGCGTTTAGTGAATGCATTAAATAGGGGAATGTAGGAGGGGAGGCAGTGCTGAGATAATTTGAGGAATCCTTTTCTATAAATGGAAGTTTTGGCCAAAATAATTGTTTGGGATGGGAGTGCGGTTAGGATTTGATGGAAGGGTATAATTGGGGCTAAGGATGGGATGGTATGAATAAAGTTCTCTCGAACTTTTGTGATAATAAAATTTCTTATTAATCAGTCTTGAATATTCGGTGAAGATAAGCTTTTTGCATTTGTAGATTTTGAAGTTACGGTATCGACATGCGGTACACGCATGCTATTGTTGTTCGTATCCCACATCATGTGAAAACAGAAAAAAGAATAAAAATCGATTTAGCATTAGCTGAAAAACAACTGGAAGAGCTCTGTGAAACGCTTAGAGAAGTTTGTATTTGTATTACATTCAGGATTATTAATGTTCTTATTTCTACGAAATCTTTGGTTTAATTTAGTAGTTTGATTTCTTAACAAAACAAGGTGATGTTTTGTTTGATGAGTATTTCTAATATAGACTATCTTTTCAGTAAATATTCAGGCGAATTTTTAGTGTTCGAGGAAGGATTTTTTTTTCCAGGCTGGTGTTGATATTATTGAACTTTCACCCGAGGAGCGTTGTGTACAACAAAGTTTATTTACCGGCGATGCTGCCATTTGTATTAACGGTACTGCCTTGATTACTCGTCCAAGAAAAAGTGGAAGCCGATTACTTGAGGTCTAACTTTTTTATAAAGTTATCAGCAGAGTATTATTTCATCATGTGTCATTCTCTGCATATTTATGTGGAAAATGTGACTTTATGAGCACTAGTTGAATAGTAGCTACATAAAAATATTGACAATGGAATAACTGGATAGAGATTTCATTAAACGAAACAATGTATATGTAATAATCAGATCTTAATGGCAAAAAAGTAGTTTTATTTACAGTAGTAGAAGTGCTTTATCATTCTGCTACTATTGAAAGAAAATGTAATTTGTTATGGAAGAAGCATTAGTAATTATATATCTGTTCGACACTTGATTAATGGATTGTTATTGTTTTGTAGATTAGCAATTTGCTTAATCAACTTGCCTGGCAGGTTGTACAAACACCACAAGTTTCTGAACATAATAAAGAAATCGTGCTCGAGGGCAGTGATGTACTATATACTGGTAAAGAAGTGTTTGTCGGTATACGAAAGAATGGTACCAACATGGAAGGAGCACTGGTAATTTTATTTAAATTCTGACATATTTTTATTACTTCAAGAATGGTAGCATCATTTTTGTAAGATGCGACGAACATTATTTTCAGATTTCATTATGAGAAGAGTGTTCGGATAATTATTTTGTGTTTTCAGATCGTTGCACGAACATTTTCTGATTTAGCTGTAATGCCAATTACACTTCCCGGAAATCAGTCTTTAAGACATTATGTTTCGCTCATTTCATCCGACATTCTTGCAGTGGGTAGTTCCAAAGAAGCGAGACAAGTTGTACAAGTATTTCTTCATTAAATTATTTTATTCTTTAAATTATGCCAAAACAATTTAATGTTGAACCGCTATTGACTCATTTCAACAAGCTCCAATTCAAACGCATTTCTATATCTATTTCGTTTGTCATTATCTATTTCGTTTGTTCAGTCATGCATTCATCTATCTCACACTAAAAAAAATTGAAATCTTTATTTTTAAATTCATTTTTAGCGGATGGAGCGGGAAGCAACCTTCCGGTACAAAACCCTAACGGTGAAACATGATGAAGCTGTGAATTGTTTAAATGTTAATGATTACGTTATTTACCGACAAGATACTCCAGAAACGGTATGCTTATAACTTTTATCGTCAGTTGTATTATATTTGTTTAAATAAATTCCAGGTTGAAAAATAATAAAAAATAGGTGAAAAGTTAATGATCTTAGTCCTTCAGCTGAAATTTTGGATCTCTGTCACACTTCTTTTATCCCATATATTTATATTATTCAGCATTTAAATTCGAATAGCAATTTGCAAAATCAAAGATTTTGAAAGATTAAAAAAAGACTGCTGATTTCTCAAATTTGTACAATTTTAAGTCCTAACCAATATCGTTTTATGTACTTTTTAATGTTTCCAGAAATTCCAAATCCTTCATGAACCGATCCAAATGGTTGGGATAACGGCGGGTGAACTGGCAAAAATTGGCAGTCCCATTTCACGTCTCGTTTTGCTCACTATGAAAATGAAAATTTTGAAATCTCTCTGGTGACTTATCTGATTTTCTTAATCTTTTGTAGAGGTGCAAGCATCTTGTTTTTTTAAATATGATTCGGTATCTTGTGTAAATCTCATTATTCTTATACTACTCTTTATTCGATACTGTATTTGTATGCTGAGGTCAAGAGGAATTTTTTTGAGATAGTAGGCATCACCTTCAAGTGTGTCTCATTACTGAGTAGCAGCT